CGGCGGCGACGACGACAGTGGCGGCGGCGGCGGCGGTGGCGGAGGCGGCGACGACGACGACGACGACGACGACGACGACGACGACGACGACGACGACGACGACGGTCGGCGACGGCGCCGGCGACGACGACGCTCGGCGGCGGCTCTGACGACGATGAACCTCGACGACCACGACGACGGCGACGGCGACGACGAGGACGACGACGACGACGACGTCGACGTCGACGACGACGATGACGACGCTCGGTGACGACGACGCTCTCCGACGGCGACGACGCGGACGACGACTGCAGCGACGGCGGCGACGACGACGACGCCGACCACGACGCTCGGCGACGGCAACGACTACGACGAGGATGACCATGACGACGACGACGCTCGGCGACAGCGCCGGCGACAGCGCCGGCGGCGACGACGCTCGGCGACGACGACGAGGATGACGACGACTACGACAACGACGACGCTCGGCGTCGGCGACCACCCCGTTGACGACTCCGACGACGACGCTCGGCGATGGCGACGACCACGACGGCGACAAGGATGACGACGACGACGGCGACGACGCTCGTCGACGTCAACGACGACGACGACGACGACGACATTGACGACGACAGCGGCGAAGACGACGACGACGACGACGACGCTCGGTGACGGTGATGACCACTACGAGGATGAGAACTTCGACGACGACAACGACGACGACGTCGCTCGGTGACGGCGACGACGACGACGACGACAGCAGCGACGACGACGACGACTCTAGGCGACGGCGACGACGACGACGACGACGACGACCACGACGACGATAGCGGCGGCGGCGGCGGTGACGACGACGATGACGATTACGACGACGACGAAGATGGCGGCGGTGACGACGACGACGACGAGGAGGAGGAGGAGGCGGTGCCGGACGCCGCGACCGCAGGTCCACTTCCTCCTGCGCCCTGGGGGGCCGTGCAGCTCGCCTCAGTGCCAACGTCCGCTGGCTGCAGGGGGGAGGAGGAGAGAGGAGGAGAAGGACGAGGAGGAGGAGGACGACGACGAGGAGGAGGAGAAGAAAGAGGAGGAGGAGGAGGAGGAAGAGGGCGAGGGCGAGGGCGAGGATGGGACTGGCTCCTTCCCTGCCGACTGGAAGGCCTGATCTTTGATCGGTGTCCTCGTTTCTTTTCTCCCTCTCTCACATCCGCCTCCATCTCTTCTCTTGACCTCCCCTCTTCTTCATCACCCTGTGTCGTTTTATCCTCTCTTTCTATCTTTTCGTTCTTCCTTCTCTTGTCTTCTTTCTTTCTGTCTTTTCTCTTCCTTCTTTCCTCTTTCTTCTTCTCTTCTTTCTTTTCTTTCTCTTCTTCTTTTCTTTCTTCTTCTCTTTCTTCTCTCTTCTTTTCTTCTTCTTCTTCGTTTCTTTCTTTCTTCTCTTCTTCCTCTTTTTCAAATAGTTCTTTCCTGTTTCTTCTTCTTCTTTTCTTTCTTCTTCTCTCTCTGTTTTTTTCTTTCTCTTCTTTTCTCTTCTTTTCTCTCCTTCTTTCTTTCTGTTTCTTCTTCTTTTCTTTTTTCTTTCTTCCTCCTCTTCTCTTCTTCTTCTGGTTCTTCTGTTCTTTCTTCTTTTCCCCCTCTGGTTCTTTTCTTCTATCTTTCTCTCTCTTCCATTCTCTTCTCCATCCTTCTCCCTTATTCATCCCATTCCGTTGTCCCTCCTCTTCTTTCATCCTTCCCCCACCCCACGTCATCTCTCATCCTTCCCCTTTCCTCGTCGCCCTCCCCGTCCTCGCCGCTGCGCTGGTGCAGCACCTCTCCCTCGTCCTGCGCCTCCTCCCTTCCTCGGCCCCAGGGCGCCTGGGCGCGCCCCCGCTCCCGTCGCACAGCGAAGGGGGGCCCTGGGCATGTTGGGGTGCATGTCCCGGGCTCCTCGCCGGCCGCTGCCCGGGCCAGGTCCCCTCTCATGGAGGCCTGGCCAGGTGGCGCTCCTGGCCCGGTTGCGCTCCCCCCCTCCCCTCGCCTCCACAACTGCAGTCGGGGCGCTGGAGAAGGAACCCTTTTCGTTGGGGAGGGGCTCCGTGCTCCTCGATTGTTTCACAGCTTGCCTTAGGTTGTCATTCGGTGTTCGATGGGAAATCGAGCTTTAACTGATGGGAAGAAGGTGCCTCGTTCCTTATTTAGGGTTCCTCAGGTCAACGTCCCGACAGTATACAATATGAGTACTACTCTCCTCTCTCTCTCTCTCTCTCTCCTGTTGGCGTCCGGAAGATGTCCGGCCCCCCTCCGCGCAGTGTTTTTTACACAGGATTCCCGGGAGTTGGGTTTTCGCTCTGGTTCTTTGTTCCAAATGTTGCTCCCACTGAAGCGCTGGCCCCATTTCTGCGCCTCTGGTTGTTCCAAATCGCATTCCCGCTGCAACGCGGGCGTTTTCGGTCCTTCTGAATAGGCCCCAAGATTTAGAAAATGCTCACCGAAAAATCGTCTGAAGGGATCCCGCATTCGGTGTCGCGTCTTTGACTTTTTGGGGCCGCAGAAGCCCCCGCACTTTGGGGCGTAGTCGTTTTCAGGAAGTATCACGCGGGAGCCCCGTTTCTGCTTCGAGAGGGCGCTGTTAAAAGCAGAGCCAGCGGTTGCTCTACATCAGCCCCGCCTTGTGTGGAGTTTTTCGGGGAGCCCAAGGAGCTAGACATGGAGCCACGACTCCGGACCAGCCCAGACCTCTCGAAGACGATCTATTTTCCTTCCAAGGAGCCCGGCGCCATGCCATGACATGTTGTGCGGTGTTGTGTTCTGCGCCGCTGTGCGATGCCATGCTTTGCGTTGCAATGTTTTGTGATGCAATGCTTCATTGCGCAATGCCACGCCATGTTATGACATGCTATAACATGCTACGCTCTGCCGTGCTCTTCTACGCCATGCCATGCCGTGCTCTAACCAGGCATCGCGCACCCTCTCGCGATCAATGCCCTGCTCGCTCTGCTGTCCCAGCTAACTGGCACTAAGCTACAACCAGATGGGTAGAAGTAAAAAGCAAGAATCGTCCCAACAAGATCATACCTCGGATATTCAAAAAGCCTCAAAACGGGTAGCCAGCCGTGCAATATCCCAGGGACGGTGCACTGTCCCAGTACAGGGGAGAATTCCGCCGCAGCCTAACGAACCGAAGTAAAAACAAAAGTGCGGGGTCAAGATGGCGACCTCCACTGTACAAAGTCCATCCTGACAGCAGGTGTAACTCCAACAGCAAGTACGATGAAGACCTTCAGCGAAAAAGCGCCGACATAAAAGCCGACGCAGCCCCATGGCCGCAGCCCGGCGATCCGGAAAGCTGCCACAGTAGCCGCACATGTGCGGAGTTTGAATACGATCTCGCTGAAGATCAGACCAGAAGCATCAGAAGAAACTTGTAAAGCATAACCCCGTCTAGTTATTGGAACATCCGCTCTTGCTGTAATCCCAGAGGCCCTCAAGGGCGGTGTGGAGAGTGTCGCAATGGACGTGGAGAAGCATGGCGCACTGCCGAAGAGCATCACGTCGTATAGACAGGTTGGTCTATGCATACGTTACGTCGCGAATTATGGCAATTGCCGTGGGTTGATCAGCATTACGTTCGCCAAGAGCTTGCCTCGCCACCAGCACGCCCGTCACCTGACGAAGCTCTTGAAGACTTGCTGGGTAGGCCGTGCGATGGAGAACCCCACAGCTGGCCGTAGACGCGTCGGCGATCACTCCCATGCTCGACATCCGACTTGGGGTGCGAATACGAGTTTATCTTACGCATGGTAAAAGGATGGGAGGGGGGGTGGAACGTCAGATATGACGCGAGCGCACCTAGCTTGTCTCCCTCTCCTCCCCTCCTCTCCCCTCCCCTTCCTCCGCTGCCCTCCCCTCCCCTCCCCTCCCTCCCTCCCCTCTTCCTCCCTTCTCCTCCATAATAGAACAATATGAATACAGCTATCCTTTCTCCCCTGGTGGCGTCTGGGAAATGGCCGACCCCCCTCCGGGCATTGTTTGTTACAAAGGATTTCCCCGATACGGGTTTTTGCTTGAGTTTTTTGTCTCGAAATGTTGCTCTCGCTGAAGCGCTCGCTTCATTTTCGGGCTACCGCTCGTTCCGAATCGTGCTCCCGCCGCAGCGATGGCCTCATTTCCACGCTTCCGCTCGTTCCGAGTCGTGCTCCCGCTGCAGCGTTGGCGTCATCATCTCCAGCGCCATGCCGCGGCATGGTTTTCGATCCTTCCAAATAGGCGCCAACATCTTGAAAATGCCCCCCCGAAGAAACCATCGGAAGTGATCATACATTCGGTGCCGATTCGTTAATTTTCTGCGCCGCAGAAGCCCCTCCCCCCACTATGGGGCGTCTCCACGCCATGCTATGTCAGGCTACGCGTCCTCGTGTCCGCGCTTCCGCGCTTGGGTTTTTGTTGTAAATGCCGCTCTCGCTGAAGCGCTAGTCTCATGTTCGGGCTACCGCTCGTTCCGAAGCGTGCTCCCGCTGCAGCGTTGGCCTCATTTCCGCGCTTCCGCTCGTTTTTTTTCGTGCTCCCGCTGCAGCGTTGGCGTCATTGATTCCAGCGCCGTGCCACAGCATGGTTTTCGGTCCTCCCAAATGGCCCGCAAATCTAGAAAATGCCCCCCCCCCCGAAAAAACATCGGAAATGATGTAAACATTCGGTGCCGATTCGTGCTTTTCTGCACCGCAGAAGCCCCCCCCCCACTTTGAGGCATCGCCACGCCATGCTATGTCAGGCTACACGTCCTCATGTCCGCGCTTCCGCGCATGTTTGTTTCGAAATGTTGCTCTCGCTCGCTGAAGCGCTGGCTTCATGTTCGGGCTACCGCTCGTTCCGAATCGTGCTCCCGTTGCAGCGTTGGCCTCATTTCCGCGCTTCCGCTCGTTCTTTTTCGTGCTCCCGCTGCAGCGGTGGCGTCATTATGTTCAGTGCCATTCCAAGACATGTTATTTCGGTCCTTCCAAATAGGCTCCAACATCTAAAACATGGCCTCCCGAAGAAACCATCGGAAGTGATTACACCTTCGGTTTCGGTTATTTGATTTGCTGCGCCGCAGACGCCTCCCCCTCAGTTTGGGGCGTCGTCACGCCATGCTATGTCATGCTACGCGTTAACCTTCAACACCATGCTATACCATGCAAGTCTATGCCATGCTACGACATCGGATTGTGCGAATAGGAAGGAGATTTGCGCCATGGTAAAGGATGGGAGGGAGGGGTAGGACGTCAGATATGACGCGAGCGCACCTAGCGTGCCTCCCTCCCCTCCCTCCCTCCCCTTCCCTCCCCTCCCTCCCTCCCTCCCGTGTCCTCCCCCGCGTGATGCGCGTGTGGCCGACCCCCATGCCTCAGAAGAGACGGCCCGGGATGAGGAGCGGGTCGCGGGGAGAGGATTCGCAGGCCATTTGTCTCTCCATAGCCCCCGAATTTTCGACGAAGACTAAAGTGACTCAGACCGCTCAGAAAATCAGGGGGACTTTCGGGTACATCCCAAGGGGCCATTCGGACGCACCCCTATCGAGGATGCACGCCCCCCTTCGTATATCCCAGGGTTGGGCCCCAAATGTTTGGTCCATTCGGAAGCCCCACGAGTCCAGGGATGGGGGTCGACACCTCCCCATGTCCAGGATCCAGTCCTCCTCGAGTCCACGCCGCCAAAGGAGCCACGACGCCTGGGGTCTGGGGACCCCCTCGTGCCGGCAGGAGGCCACCGCCCGCCAAGCCACCCCGACCCAACCCGAAGGCCTCAGGTTGGCCTTCACTTCCCCGACGCACTGAAACAAACACACACACACACACACACACACACACACAAACACACACACACACACACACACACACGCACGCACGCACACACACGCACGCACGCACGCACGCACGCACGCACACACACACACACACACACACACACACACACACACACACACACGCAAATGCAACTCGTACCCCCCCCCCCACCACCACCAGCCCGAAAGCAGGGTCTCCGG